TCTCTGGGTGGTGTGGTTAGGGTGTTGGGTTGTTTTGTTTTGTGCTTACCTGTATTTTCTAATTTTTGTGAAAAGGTGTTTTCCTTGTGTAACAAAAGTATCTGAGGGTTTCTGATCTCCAACCACTGCACTCCAGTGCCTCCCCACTCATGGCCGTTACAGCATCATCTTACATTTCTTTGTCCACCCATCGCTCTCCTCTATTGACCATGAGTTTCTCTAGGAAACTCTGAGGTCTTATTCAAAGACCTTACTCTGATGCAAGTCTCTACTCCTAGAACTTGGTACACTTAGGTGCCAGTACATACTGTTGAATGAATGAGCGAACGAACGAACGAACGAATGAATGAATGCCAATTCAAACCTGGAGCCCTGGTGAGGTCATTAGATCCACAATCCTATCTTTATAGACGGTCTTCTTATTCTCACGGTGTTCTCTGTATTTGTTTCCCTTTTGTTCTTCAATACCAGCAAAGCCTTTTGGAAAAGGCTGACAGCAAGAGTTGTCATGGGATCTGAAGCAAAGCTTTAAAGAGGCAGGAACACTCCCCGTTTTTGCCACCCACAGCAGGAACGGAGGCAGCCACCCTGGGGCCAAGGGCATAGAGGAGAAGCCCTCGGTCTGCTCCCTTCCCGCCTGGGGAGGTTTTCTGTCCAGGACCAATGCTTGGAAAGGATGGGGTTCCACGCACTGAGCCGTGCTGAGCACAGGCCCTCCCAAACCCCAGGCCCCGAGAGGCTCGGGTCCAAGGGTGGGCTGTGGATCTGAGGCCGGCCAGTCAGGGAAGGCATCCTGGAGGAGAGGCCTGGAAGGCTGGTTAGGGAAGGGGAGGAGACCAGGGCAGAGGGGAGGGGAGCGGGGAACATGCCTGGGCAGTTGGCCACTGGATGATTTAAGTACAACCAGATGTGCCGGGAATCTCCTGTCAGGCGAGGCCCAGGGAGGGCAGCGTGGGGGTGGGGAGACCTCTGGACCACTCGGATTGCCAGCTCCCTGTTGGGCCGGGGCCTGTGAGCTCCAGGGAAGGGAGAAGCCCCGCGGGCTCCAGAGGAGCTGGCGTGCAGGAGCGTGAGCCAGGCAGGCCTGGGTGGAGTCTTCCCTTTGGATGAGGAGCAGGAAGGGAGGATTCCTCCAGGAGGCAGGGGATTGGGCTCAACACCCGGGACCTAGAAAAAGGGGGTGAAGAGGCTCTGGGGTAGGAACTCCCAGCTCTGCGGGGCGTGAGGGGTCGCTCCCCAGGCAGCAGAGGGGAGTGGTTCTCCAGGGAGAGAGCCTGATGTGTTAAAATGGGCGGGTGCTTCGTGAGAGGCTCAGTGGGGCTGCGATGAAGGTTCAGGATGAGATGACAGTTCAGGGGGGCCTGTTGGCTCAAAGGCTGTGCTGCAGGGTGGGGGTGCGGTGGGGGTGCTCACAGGGCAAATGGCAGAGCCCGGTGCAGGGTGAAGGGTTTGGAAGTGGGGCCCAGGGTCCCCAAGTGTAGGGCTCCTAGGGGAGAAGACGGGACTGATGGCGAGTCCCAGCTCCTCCCTCCCCACAGCCTGTGTGCGGTCTGGCACAGAGCTGTATCTGACTGCCGTGGCCGGCAAACTGCGGCTCACAAGCCACATGCGGCTCTTTGGCCCCTTGAATGTGGCTCTTCCATAAATACCACGGCCTGGGCAAGTCTATTTTGAAGAAGGGGCGTTAGAAGAAGTTCACGTTTAAAAAATAGGGCTTTCAAAAAATTTTTTCAATTGTTGTACTGTTGATATTTGGCTCTGTTGACTAATGAGTTTGCCGACCACTGGGCCAGAGGAAAGGACACTTTTTCTAACTCCACAAAGAGCACCTAGCTGGCTGTGGGGTGGGCCTGGGACCCATACACAGGCCGTCGTTCACTGAGAAGGCAAAGCTGGAATAAGCACAAACGGTAAGGGCGTGAGCGGCTGGACAGGGCTGGGGAGGCCCTGGAAGCGGAAGGCCAAGCAGCCAGAGTAGGAGGGCGAAGGCTTCCATTTGTGGGGAGCAGCCCGAGCCCAGAGAAAGTGGGGCGCAGCAGCAGCCCACAGGGTGTGGTGCCCACCGGGCATGCACCCCAGTCCCTGAGCCAGGATGCATTTCCTTCCTTTCCTGCTTCTTAATGACTCCTGAGCAGCTCATGCCCAGGCCCTCAAAGAGAGGCCTCCCTGCCCTTTCCTCTTCCTCTCCTCCGTTTCTTCCTCCCTTCCTCCCCCCACCCCATCCTTCCCCAGGGCCCTCGTCTTTCCTTCCTCCTCACCCTGTCTGCTCCTCCCCACTCCTTCTCTGGCCTCACACATCTTCCCTCTAACTCTCCTCTCTCTCTCTCTCTCTCTCTCTCTCTCTCTCTCTCTCTCTCTCTCTCTCTCTCTCTCTCTCTCGTTCACACCGCTGAATGCTGATCCCCTGCCCAAGCCCAGCACTGGGAGCGAGGTGGTGGAGGTGGAGGGTAGGAGGCTACACAAACAAAAGGGCTAAGACAGAGTGAAGGGCCCTCCGCCAAAGCCACACATTACTGCCACCAACACCACTGTCATTACCCAATCCACTGCGGGCACCTGACCTGCTGGGGGGGTGATCCCCAGACGCCCTGACCCGCATGTTCTCCGCGGGGGGCTCTCCAGGCACAGAGCATTGTCAGGGGGGCTCTCCAGGCACAGAGCCATCGTCAGGGGGGCTCTCCAGGCACAGACCCATCGTCAGGGGGCTCTCCAGGCACAGAGCCATTGTCGGGGACAGCCAGAGGGTCAGCAGGGCGTCCTCAGAGAGCAGACCCCCCAGGCCCCACACGTGAGGGCGGAGGGAGAGACGTGATGGAGGGCCATTTGTCGGGATTCACTGTCAGCCCGGGAGGCTGGGTGATGTATTAACAGGGCTTTAATGAGCTCGCAGAGGGGGTCACACTTCATTGCCCGAGCACTGGTGCAGGATTGGGGAGCTGAAGGGTGAAGAGACTCGCCTCACCCCCACCTGCGCATGCGACTCATGCCCATTTACCCATCCGAAGCAATTCGGCACCTCTGAGATGCCAAGCCTTGGAGTCCAGCGAAGCCCCTTCCTCAGCACGCTGGCCCATCCTCCCCTCTCACTGGGAAGGCCTTCCGGAGGTCTAACCTGGTCCTTCCTACCAAGACCGGAAGGGGGAATGAAGAACTAGACGCCTGCTCTAGGGGAGCATCCTATCAATTCTTTCCTCCACCCTAACGCCTGTCATCCACCCTGCCCTGGCCCCAGGGACACCCAGCCACAAGGCCCTGGCCAGGCCAGGTTTGACCTGGTGCTCGTCTTGGTGGCTGAAGTCACTCGGCTCATGCGGGCATTGGTCTCTCTTGCCTCTGACCCTCGGGGAGCTGGGAAGGCGGGATGGAAAGAGCACAGTGGGTTCTAGATCCAGCTTTGCTGTGTGACCTGAAGCATGTCACTCCTCTCTGGCCCTCAGGTGCTCGTCAGTAAGAAGTGCTAAACAAGGTCCTTCTGCCTCTGTTGTCCCTGGGATTGTCCCTGCAGCAAGGAGCTTGGCTCTTCTAGGGCGGTGGCCACTATGGCCCTCTTCCTCCTACCTTTCTAATCCCGAAGCCAGGGCTGCCCTCACAGTGAGAGCCTGGATACACACCTCCCCTGTGCCGGGTGTGGTCCCAGGGGTGGGGGGTGGAGAGGAAGGGGGGATTCTGGGGGTGGAGATCCTGATCTTGGTGAGTTTGAAAACCTACTGGGGTACTGGTCTTGTTTCCATGGTTGGGCTGGGAAAAACATGGGAGCTATTGAGGGTCTCCCCCGTTCTCTTTCCCCTAGTGGCACCATGGGGGAGGGAGGGCTGGTGGGGTCCCCTGAGAGGTCAGAACCCAGAACTCCAAGAGGAACCGTCACTAGAAATGTTTAAATTCTTCACAACACACAGACAGAGCAGTACCCTGCAGGCTGGTGGCGAGGGGCACAAGGGCAACCTTGTCCTGCTGGTACTTAGACTGAACTGCATGCAAAGGGAAGAAAAATAACCCCTCCGAAGAGAGGACCCTCACACACTGCCTTGGGACCCTCTGATGCTCAGCATCTCCTCCAGGAACTCTGTCTGGGTCCTCCAAGCTCAGCCCAGCCCGTCCACGACCTCCTGCGGCAAAGTGGGTTCTGCTACGGGTCCCTCACCCGCAGGCGTCCTCTCCTGGCTGGGTCACTTCTGCAGCCGAAGCCTCGAGCCTGTGTGTCTGACAGAATTGTCTGTCTGTCCCCGGACTGAGCAGTGCTTTGGGCCCTGTCTGATGTCCCCAGCACCCAGCCCAATGCCGGCCCAGGGATGTGTCACGAACACCTCAGTACCCTGAGTGTCCGCCTTCCCTGCTCAGCCTGCCTGGCCTAGTGGGAATGTGGCCCTCAGGGAAAACCCTTCCTGGGGAAGCGCGTTTGTAACTCACACCCCACGTCCAGGGCTCGCACCCAGCCCGCACCCAAGGGCTCTGCGTGGCCCTGTGCCCAGGGTGGGCTTGCCCGGCTGCGTGTCCAGCCTCTGCACCCCGGGTAGGTGCTCAGCTCCCCTGGGGGCGGGGGTGGGAACGTGAGCCCACAGGCTGTGCGGCCAGGGGCGCAGGCACAGGGCCGGGGGTCTGGGAGCTGGCGGACAGGGCGGGCGGCCGGCTGCCTTCCCCTCCGCCCTTCCACCCAGGAAGCCGCGCACACCCGGGCCTCGCTCATGGGCTGCGCCCAAGCCCGGCCGCCCCTCGGCGGATCCCGGCTCCACCGCACCCATCTCCCCGCCCCGACGGCAGCAGCGGGGCGGCCTGAGCGGCCAAGGACACTCCGCGGCGGGGTCACCGGCTCCGTCCCCGGAGCGGCCAGTTCACTCGGAGCGCGGAGGGGGCGGGGGCGGCCGGCGGAGGAGGAGCCGCCGGGCCGGGTGGGGGCGGGGCGGCCGGAGCGGCGGCGGGGGCGGGGCGGGGGCGGGGCGGGCGGGCGGGAGGGGTCCGGGGAGGGCGGAGCGGGAGGGCGCAGGGGCGGGCGAGGGGCGGGGGCGGGGTGGGGGTCCTGCCGCGGGGGGAGCCGGGCGGCCCGGGTCCGGCCACCCCCACTGCCCAGCCCTGCTCGGGCCGCGGCGGCCGCAGCAGAGCGGCTCCGGGATGGTGAGCGCCGCTGCCCTGCAGCCCCGGCCGGTCGCCCCCGGCCCGCGCCCCGGTCCCGGCGCCGGACGCCCCCCGAGGCCGCGCACACTCACCTAGGACGGCGGGATGCCGAGGTAGGGCCGGGGCCGGGCCGGGCGGCGGGGCGGGCGGCGGGGTCAGGGCGGTGACCGCTCGGGCCGGGCGAGCGGAGCTTTGTCCGCGGGCGGGCGCGCGGCGGGCGCGGGTCGGGAGGGCGGGCGCTGCGGGTCGCGGGGCTCAACCAGGCGGGGGTCGGAGGGCAGGACCCGCGAGAGGCCGGGCGGGTGCGTGGGCGCCGGGGTCACTGCCCGGGGGGCGCGGGCCGGGGAGGGGGTCTCCCCGCCGACGGGCGCCCCCTCTCACCACCCCCACCCCCTCCGGCCGCGGAGGCTGCGGCAGTAGCGGGCGGCCGGCTCTGGGGGGAGCTTGCGGGGCTGGGGGTGGGGAGCCAGGGTTTGCGGGTTCGGGTCCCAGAAGGAGCCTGTGTCCGGAGCCCGAGGGCCGGCCCGCAGGCCCCTCCCACTCCGTCAGGTCTTTGTCCAGCGGCCCGTGTGAGTGTGTGTGTGTGTGTGTGAGTGTGTGAGTGAGAGTGTGTGTGTGAGAGTGTGTGAGCGAGAGTGTGTGAGTGAGAGTGTGTGTGAGTGTGTGAGAGTGTGTGTGAGTGTGTGTGTGTGTGAGAGTGTGTATTGAGTGAGTGTGTGAGTGTGTGTATGAATGTGTGTGAGTGTGTGTGTGTTTGAGTGTGTGTATGTGTATGTATGTATGTGTGTGAGTGTGAGTGTGAGTGTGTGTGTGTATGTGAGTGTGTGTATATATGTATGTGTGTGTGTGAGTGTGTGTGAGTGTGTATGTATGTGAGTGTGTGTGTATGTATGTGTGAGTATGTATATATGTATGTGTGTGAGTGTGTGTGTGTGTGAGAGTGTGTGTGTGTGTGTATGTGTGCGCGAGAGAGAAAGAGAGAAAGAGAGAGAGAGAGAGAGAGAGAGGAGGTGGGGGTGGGCTCCGGGCCCGGAGGTCCCCTAGCTCGGTGACGGGCAGTGACAGGGGACGGAGGCCAGGGGCCCCTGGTCCTAACGCCTCGCCCTTCCTTTCTCCTCCCCGGCCCCGGGATCACGGACCCCCTCCGAGCCCGGTGTCCGGGAAGCTCTCTGACCTGCACCCCTGGCCGCAGGCTAAGGGGCCCCAGCTCCCGGCTCCGGACGGAGCCCCGGGACCCCCTCCGCCGGCGCCCGGTCCGCGCCATCCCCGTGCCGGGCGCCCTCCGCAGGGCCGGCGCACAGTAGGTGCTCAGCAAACGCGGGCCCAGCCCGGCCCTCCGTCCCCTCCGTCCCCTCCGTCCCCTCCGTCCCGGGCCCTCCGGAGCGGGCCGGAGCGGGGCCGGAGCGGGCGGACGGGTGGGTGGCCGGGGGCCGGGGCCGCCACTAAATCAGGATTAGGCCGTGGGCTGTCAGGGCCGCCCGGTCTCCATGGAGACCTGATTCGGGGAGAACAGAGGGCGGGGAGTGTTTGTGTTGGAGTCCGCGCCGCTCCGGCCCTGCAGCGGGGACCGGACCCGGACCCGGACCCGGTCCAGTTCCATCCTGGGCTCCTGCGGGGCGGAACCCTCCGTCCGGGGCCCAGAGCCTCGCCGTGGGCTCCTCAGAGGGCGGGGGTGCTGGGGTCCGGACTCTGACCCAGCGCGGGGAGCCCTCGGACCCCCGGGACCAGCCTGAACCCCCTGTGCCTCCGTCTGGACTCGGCGGGGCCGGGGTCCCCAGCTGCTCTGCGCTGAGCCCGGAGGGCGGACGCGCTGCCCGGGCCGCGGCTCCCGGGACCCCCGCAGCCGCACGGGCGCCCCCGCGGGCCCCGGGGGCGAGGAAGGGGCGGGCTCGCCGGCCGCGGTGCCGGGTCGGTGACAGGCCTCGTAAATCCCCGCTCCTCATATTTAACCCCATTTCATTTATTTCCACGTGACTCCATCGGGGCCCGCAGCAGCCACCCTCGTAAGCAGTGACCTCTGCGCCCTCGCTGTCATGTCTTCCGGGGGGCGGGGGGGAAGCCCGCTTGGGCCAGAGGGAGTTTAGCTCCGTGAGGCTGTGGAGCTGCCCCCGGAGGGGCCCACAGGCCCGGTTCCTCAGGAGGACCCCGTTCCTCAGGAGGACCCCGTCTTCCGAGGAGAAGCGGGGCTAAGGGATACAGGACGGCCCGTGACGCCCTCCGGGATTTTGGGATTTTCTGGCCCGGGGATAGGGCTGGGCTGGGCCAAGGGTCCTGGGGACGGACGATGCCAGTTCAGGGACAGGGGAGAGGGACCCAGAGCCCTTATTTGCTTTCCTCCAGGTCCTGACCGCAGCGTTTTATGGAGCAGCATCCTCTCCCCTCCCCCACCCGGGCTCAGCTTTATTGCCGAGGTCTCAGGCTCTCCACGCAATTTCACGCCTCTCTGCCTTTGCTCTGGCTGTCCCCTCAGCCAAATGCCTTCCCCATTGTCCCTGTCTCCACAACCTCCTCATTCTCCAAGGCCCAACTCGGATGCCACACTCCCCCCACGTAGCTTCCCCAGAGCCCCCAGCTCCTGCTCCTCCCTCCATGTTCTCCTGGCCCTGCACCTGTGCCTCCTCCAGCCTTGGGGCTTTGCCTCCTGGAGGACAGACCTGGAGCATATACGTGCTTGCACCCTGCCCCCATGGGCTGGCTCTGGGGCTCACAGCTTAAGGGTACCCCATAAATGCCTGTTGGCTGAACCTAAAGGGCTTTCCTAAGGATAACCTGCGAAGCATAGAATCTGGACATTTTCAGGCGAACGGTTCTGTGCTCCTGGCTGGGTAGAGACCCCTGGGTGGGTCTTCTCTTCCCCTCATTGCTGACGCTCCCCGCCCCCCCAAGTCGGGGAGGACTTTGCCCCTTCCTTCCCCACAGCCCAGCATTCTTTCCCTGCCATTATCATCCCGTTAAACAGAGAGGCCAGTCAGGATCCATATGGATCACATTAACAATTGCTTATTATCTGGGCCAGGACTGCCCCCACTCTCCACCCCAGCTCCTGCTGCTGCAGGGGCTGGACCCTTAGGAGCCCGGTCCCCCTGCCTCCCCCTCCCCCGCCATTGGTCAGCCAGGGAGGCCAGGAGACAGGCCGGTCTCCCTCGCCCTCCCCGTGCCTTCCAGCAAAACTTTGCTGCTTCTTGACTCGGCAGGCAGTTAATGGCTCCTTTTCTTGATTTAACGAGAACCAGGTTCCTTCCAGGAGCACAGCTCGGCGAGGATCCCGGGCTGCAGCAGGGGGAGGTGGACCCAGGGCCCAGGTGCACCTGTGTCTGCAACGGCCCCTGCCTTCCAGCTGACAGAAGCGAGCCCCACGAGGCCGGCCAAGGGGGGTACTGGTGTCTCCCGCCACCTCAGCGCTGGGCTGGCCCCGCTGTCTATTGGGAGCTGGCAGGCTGGTGAGGAAGATCGAGAGCGGAGGGACCCTGCAAGTGGGCCCAAGACTTGTGCTGCAGTCAGAGGAGCCAGATGTTTGAGAGGTTCCTGGGGCAGCAGCTGAGGGAGCCTTGCAGGTTGGGGAGTAGTTTATGTTGAGGTGCATGTAGCCCAAGAATACTAGGCATGGAAGAGGCCTTTGAGATTACCCAGTCTGGGGGTCCCTAACTTTTTGTATTCACAGACCCCCTCAAGGAACCAGCAAAAGTTGTCCCCAGAAAAGTGCACTCGCCTCAGTCGACATTAGACTTTGCATTCTGCTTTAAAGGTTCTTGGGCCACCCCCAACCCCCCTCCCCGGAGCCCATGGGACCCCACTCCTAGTCCACCTCCTTCGGAAGTGCTGAGGGCAGTTACCTGCTCCCGGCACTTCTTCCCTGCAGACAGCACTGTCCATGGCCTTGCACTGGCAGGCGAACAGGGTGGGCTAAGGGCCAGCGGTAGTGGACCAGGGTGACAGGCCAGGCTTTGAACAGGAAAGGTTCCCGCTGCCCAGGATGTGGGTTCGTCATCTCGGCTCTGAGTGTGGCACCTGGAGAGACCATGTCCAGCGCTTATTTTGTCTGAGGATCCATTGGTCCCCAGGAACCAGGATGAGCGGCAGGAAATCTAGCTTCTCCAAGCTTTTCATAGACGTCTTGATAAATCATAGCTAACATAGGCAGCACTTATTAAATATTCTATATGCCATCTGTGACATGGGACCAAGGGCAGCGCTACCTCATAAGCATTATTGTGAGGATCAAATGAGTTAGGAGTCTGGAGCTGGGATTAATCAGGGATTGATAAGAAGAGGTGACGAAGAGGCTGCATTTTGCTCTAACAAACCTATGTTGAGCACCTGCTGTGTCCAGCACTGTGCAGGGTGCTGGGTGTACCTCATCCAGGCTCCGAAGAGCTCCTAGTTTGGGCTGGGGATTCCTGGGCCCCTGTGTGCCTGGCCATGAGCTGGGCCTTCACACCTCAGGTCTCCTGTGACAACCCTCCGTTTCTCCCATGGCCAGGGAGGGCCAGAGCCCATCGCCAGCCCCGGCATTGATGGCTTCGTCACAGACACCTAGTGTCGCTCAGGAGCACACTCCGCGGGGCCTGTGCCGGGCCCCGGGTATTTTATCTGGGCAGCCATTCATCCAGCAACCATTCTTCTTGGATGTGGTCCCACTTACGAGGAGCTTACAAGGCAGTTGGGGACCGAGCAGAGGCAAAGGGACAGGCCATGCTTTCAGGGCCTCTCTCCTGAACTCCCTGGGTAGAAGGGAGTCCCTGAAGGTGTGCGAGCTGGGGGTGACCTGCTCGGAGCTGTGGAGTGGGAGAGGAGAGACGCAGGGAAAAGGCCAGTACGTAGCGGCAGGGCGCGGCATCCCCAGTGGGGTTTCAGACTGGGTTTCCCCAGGGGTAGGCTGTTCATAGGCGACAGAGACCCTAATTCAGTGAACGAGTGGGGACCTGGGGAGTCTAGTAGCTGCTGTCTGGCCTATTTGGCCCTTGGATCCTCATGAGTCCGAGGCGTGTGTTCCTTTTTCCAAGCCAGCGGGGAAAGAACTGGTGAGACTCAGGTTCTACTGGAAAAAGAGCACCCTGTCCCCTTCGGATGGTTCTGCCTGCCCCTACCCAGTCTGCCTCTGGCTTCCCTGGGA